AGACGTGGTGCAACTTCGAAGTGGAACAAAAGTCCGCTCCGAAGCTGGTGTGGGCGGTGTTCGCGAAGGTGAGAACGTCTCAGATTGTGGTTGAGGATGAGTGCGATCGCCGTGTGTNTGTGTTTTGTGATGATCAAGTTGAGCAATGCATGAGGGATGAACTTGTGCACTTTGAGGAAGCTGGTCTGAGCTGGTGCTGGTGGTGCCATGATGCAATGCTTGGTGTTGGTGGTGATGATGCTGCCGCTGAAGATGTGAAACTTTCTGGGTGCCGGTCTAGTTGACCTCTTCTTCAGAGCGATGATCTCCTTCTTTTCCTGTGCTCCGCTCCGGTGCATGGAGTTGGTGTTGACTTGACTGGTGATGATGACTCCAGGGTGCGAGTGTCCGGCTCACCAATGTAGCGGATGAGCTATCGGTGAGGTTTATTGTGGAGATGATGGGGAGTCACAGAGAAGGAGAGAGAGTGGTGGACGGAGTAACAGTGTAACAGAGTCTGGTGATGTGAAGACTGACTGTTCTCGTCGTCTGAGTGCTACGTACGGTAGGTCTTAAATACCGTCGTGTGCAGTGTGACAAGAGTGTGAACTGTGATGTGTGTGAGTGTGACATGAGTGAGATGTGATGTGTGTGTGAGTGCAAATGTACGTTGGGTCAACGTTGGTTGAACGTGAGTGAACGTCAGCTGTGGCTGGCGCCACACAATTTTATTTTTATGCTGATATCGACGTTTGAAATTTAGTGACACTTTAGGTGGCCCACCCTGTATATTCATCTAAGTGGAGCCCGGAGCGGTTCTTGAGAAAATCGGTTCCAAACTGTACCTTTGCTTGAGCTTAATTTGAGTTGGAATGCCATCTAGCGGAAAAAAAACAACGAAATTCCGTTTGATGGCATTACAACTTAGGTGAAGCACAGCCAAAGGTACAGTTTGGACCCGATTTTCTCAGAAACCGTTCCGGGTTCCATTTAAATATTTGCATATAAGTAATTAGGCCTTTTTTAGCTTTCAAAAAATGTGCGACTCATTAAACTTTGAGTTGACATGTATTTGGAGGGAATTTGTTTTCACTCTTTTTTTGAAATTGACTCGATTAAGAAAAACGGGTGACGTTCCAAGCGGCCTGTCTCAGAAACTGGTTTGTCAGCAGCAAATGTAAACAGACAGCGGCTTCACTGCTTGCGTCAAGCGTAAGGTTGGCGGAAAAAAGTTTTTTCCAAAGTAGATTAACCAGTTGTAAGATTGGCTTTTGGTATTGGACAAAAGCTCATTTTGATCAGAAAGACTTCTAGTTTAACATATGTAAGATCAAAAAAACTCAGGCATCTAGAACTAGATCAAACAAAAGATTTAAAATGCACATTTTTGAGTTTTTCTCAAAGTTTTTAGTCATTGCGCCATCTTCTGCCCAGTTCTTGATACGTTCAGTGTAGATTGCTTCGTAAGCTTACAAGCGCTGTACTGTAAGCAAAACCTTTCCTAACTAGTCAAGAGATGGCGCAGTGACGGAAAACTAGTAAAAAGGTCAAAAATGCTGATTTTTAATCTCTTGTTTTATCTAGTTCTTGATGTCTCAGCTTTTTGTTTTTCACATATGTTAAACTAGAAGTCTTTCTGAGTAAAATGAGCTTTTGTTCAAAACTAAAAGCAATCAGAAACAGGCTCAAAACTGAAGTGCAAAAGTCACAGATTGTATGGCTAAAGCAGCGTTTGTTTACATTGGTGCTGACGAACCAAGTTTTGAGACAGGCCGCTAGAGGTCCGATTTTCCACTTAATCAAGTCAATGGACTTAGCCACAGCGAATGTGTCATGTTAAGGGTGCGTGCGCTACAAGGCGCAGACACAAGCTAACTCTGTAAACAAAGTCAAGCGCTGATAAGCAGAAAATGCGTTTTAAGGGAAAGTTGCACTAAAAAGCCCTTATACCTACTTAACTATTTTCGGCTTGTAAATACTTTAAACAAAAAACGGATTTTGTAAGTTGCTATAAGGACGTTTCAGTACAACTTTTCCTTAAAACGCATTTTCTGCTTGTAAATGCTTGACTTTTGGAAAGAAAACCGGGACCCGGGACCTGTGACGGCAGTCTCTGCCTACTTTGCCTTTCAGCTTCCGATGCCGAAACTTATGTCTATCTTTGACGTGATTTGACCACTCGGGTCCCGGGTCCCAAGTCTCGGGTCCCTGGTCTCGGGTCCCAAGTCTCGGGTCCCAGGTCCCAAGTCTCGGGTCTTGGGTTCCGGGTCACAGGTCACGGGTCACAGGTCACGGGTTACGGGTTACGGGTCACGGGCCTCTTTCTTAACTTACAAAATCCGTTTTTGTTTAAAGTATTTTCAAGCCGAAAATAGTTAAGTTGGTATAAGGGCATTTTAGTTCAACTTTCCCTTAAAACGCATTTTCCGCTTACCAGCGCTTGACTTTGTTTACAGAGTTAGCTTGTGTCTGCGCCTTGTAGCGCACGCACCCTTAACATGACACATTCGCTGTGGCTAAGTCCATTTCTATAAAAAATTTGCGTGTGTACCTGTTGGAAAATACTTTCGTAGTGATAGTTGCTAGGTGGAGAAGGCTTTATATACCTTCTGGATGGAGGCCCTCTTAGAGGGTGGAGCCTACAGGAGAAACCCACACTACGACAAACAATTGTTGTATCGTTTTTTTGCAAAACAAGCGTTTTGCACAAACTTGCCGCAAAAACACTTACTGTTATGAATGGTGGTGCTCTTGTGTGACGTATTTGAAAACGGTGACGTAGTGTGAGTTTTTCCTGTATTTTTCCTGTATTTTGAAGCTTAGGCGTCTCAGGCTACTGACTTTTTTAAAATAGTGGCGCTATTTCTGCAACAAATGATATTGGCGTATTCAGAATATTTTATATGAGAAGTCAGTAGTCTAAGAAGCGTATGAAACTGCAGCAATGCGGGCTTCTCTGCAAAAAGCTCCTCCCTCAGGAGGATGCGACACTGAAAAAGCACATGTATAGCGAGTTCTTTTGCCGGATTGTAGATGGCGCTACAGCGCCAGACATGAATTTCAATGCAAATAGGCATCAAACATACAGAACAGCATTTAAAGTAAGAGAATACAAGTAACACTCTTAGTTTTTAAAATTTAATTAAACTTAGTTGACAAAAAAGTTGATCAAAATCTTGTGCTTGTTTTGAATTATAAGACTCTCTCGTAGCGCCACCTACAATCAGGCAAAGAAACTCGCTTTGCATGTGCTTTTTCAGTGTCGCATCCTATGTACGCTACAAGGCTGGGAATTGTGTCCACTTTTCCGCTGTAGATATACAGCCAACGTTAGAGAAAGCTAACATTGGCTGTATAGCCACAGCGGAAAAGTGGACCAAATCTGGGAATCGTGTCCNCCACTTTTCCGCTGTGGATACACAACCAACGTTAGCGTATTCTAACGTTGGCTGTGTAGCAACAGCGGAAAAGTGGACACAATTCCCAGCTTTGGTATGCTAGATGGTTCGGGCGCTCTACTGTGATCGTCTTCTGCGAACGACTCTTAGCATGTTGTTTTGCTTCAGATTTTTTTCTGCAGAAACCAAACAAACATTTGCTGTTTGGTTTTCTGGTTCAAAATTCTTTTGAGTACTTGATCCGGTCAGCCAAGAAGAAGTTCCATCAAGTTGAAGCTAATCCCCTCTTCTGGCCAAAAATCACGCCACCATGCGCCTCACCTCGCTGCTGCTGAGCAAGATACCGAAGCGGTACGCCTACGCCAACTTCCCCGAGCGGTTCATCAAGAGGCAGACGGACTTTGTGGAGTGGCGGACGCCGCCCTATCCGAACTACCAGCCGCGGACCGTTCGCTACCGCAAGCAGCCCTACTACGACATCCACCGCCCCTGGACGACGGAGTTCGCCGACCAGAATGCGCCCAACGCGAAGCACCCGAAGATCTACGTGGAGCCGATCCGGAACTTCCCCGTCTTCGTCGGCGACACGGTGGCGGTGCTGCGGGGCAAGGACAAGGGCAAACGGGGCACGGTGAGCTACGTGGTGGCCGAACGGAACTGGGTCTGCGTCCGCAACCTCAACCTCGAGTACAGCATGACGCAGCGGGAGCGGCGCTTTCCGGGCGTCATCAACACCATCGAGCGGCCGTTGCTGCTGCCNGCACGGTGAGCTACGTGGTGGCCGAGCGAAATTGGGTTTGCGTCCGCAACCTCAACCTCGAGTACAGCATGACGCAGCGGGAACGGCGCTTTCCGGGCGTCATCAACACCATCGAGCGGCCGTTGCTGCTGCCGCGGGACGTCAGTCTGGTCGATCCGGAGGACAACGAGCCCACGGCGGTGGAGTGGCGCTTCGACGAGGAGGGCAACGAGGTGCGGGTCAGCGTGCGGACCGGTCGCATCATTCCCATTCCGCAGAAGGCCTTCGAGACGAGGGACTACAAGGTGCGGCTGGGCTACGCGGAGCAGGCGAAGGACACGCCGGCGGCGGAGGTGACGAGGGTTACCTTTGAGCCGGCGCTGAAGACCTTCGAGATGGAGATCGCCGAGGCGAAGGGCATCAAGGAGGACCGGGTGCCCTATCCGATGTACTGGTACTGAGGAGGAGGAGAATCGGCGGTTTGCTTGTTTACCTGTTACTTCATCTAGATTGCTCATCAGCACCACCATTAGTTGTAAAGAAAAAGAGAATTTTCTATTTGCAATTTGAATTATTAATTATTAAATCCTACTATCTAATCAATGATCTTGGGAGATTTCGAAACCTTGATTGATTCTACGAGAAAAAGCGATCATTTTTTTCTATTTTGAATAATGTACGACATTTTCAGTGGCGGTCCAAATAGTCGATCGTTGTTTACAGTTTTTGAAGCTCTCCAAAAGTCTTTTTCTTTTTCTCTCTCCTTCTGATGATCTGCCAAAGATAAAGACTTACGACAAACAGGAAACGATGAACCCCGGTGCGACCACAAACTCCACCAGCACTCCTTGCACTCCTGGTACTTCGGGCAACACTGCCAACACTTCTAGCACTTCTCATGGACTTCAGGCGAGCCAGGGCAGCGCCTTTTCACCCTACCGAGTAAGGAACTTTCCACTTTTCAGAAAGCAGCTTATCAGCAACTTATCTTCTTCTTTTGCTCATCTTCTAGCCATCAACAGTGCTGACCAACCTCCAACGGGGCAACGTCCAGACGCCGCTGGAGACCGGAGAGCCGCGCACTCGAGAGGTCCACGAGCTGGCCGCCCTGGGCGAGCTCTTTCCCGGTCATGTCAATCTAGGTAAGAAACCTCTCTTTTTCGAATGACCTAAAATGCTCACCCAATCTTCTTTATCCTTTATCCAGCAGAAATCGACGTCAATCAGTCGGACGGGCACGGCCTGACGCCGGTCCACTGGGCGGCCACCTACGGTCAGCTGGAGTCGCTGAATCGGCTGCGGGAGCAGGGCGCCAGCTGGGGCGCCCGGGGACCGGAGGACGAAACGGCGCTCATGTTGGCCGCCTCGGGAGGGCACAATCACGTGGTGAAGGCGTTGATTGCCCACCTGGGGGCAGGCATCATTGATGACGTTGATGAGGTACTGTTTTGGAAGATTTTGAACTTCTAAAAACTGACCTTATGATTTCTTCAGGACGGCAACTCGGCGCTGATGTTCGCCGCCTACGGGGGCCACAAGGCCGTGGTGAAGGAGCTGCTGGAGCATGGGGCGGACGTGACGCTGGTAAACTGTAACCTCGACACTGCCTACGACATTGCCACGAAGTTGAAGCGCACCGAGAGTAAGAGAGATTACCTTGTCTTCGAAAGCCTAACACTTACCAACTTTTTCTCTCCTCTCTCCTTCAGTTCAATCAATGCTGCAGAGGCACATTCTCAATCTGATCAGCTAATCACTCACCTTTTCATCAGTCAATCAAGTATCAAACCATCATCAGCTTTTACTGCAATAGCATAAAAATCACAGACATTCAGCAATTATAATACTCCAAAAAGAGAAATTAAATTAACAAAAGTCAGGCGACGGCTGAGGTGGTATAGGCTGTGGTGGTGGTGGTGGAGCACCATTAACTCCTGCATCCAGATCATAAATACCACCACCACCTCCATTATCACCCACATCATCCAAAGTAACCGCCCGCACGCCAATCAAACTGTGCTCTTTGCGACAGCCGCAGCACTCCTGCGCAAACTGAAACACCAACTCGAGGAGGCAGTTGAAGAGAATGAGCGACCAGACGACGACGTCCACCAGGTACCAGTTGCTTCCGGTGGAGTGGAGGCGACTGGCGGCGACCACCAGGTAGGCCAGCGCGGCCATGCTGTAGACGGCCACGCCGATGAAGACCTCGCAGAGGAGGGCGAAGAGGCCGAGGAGGTTGACCGCTCCGAGGAGCAGGCACCAGAAGATCACCGAGGGGCGGTCTTCCATCGGGGCGGAAGTGGTCGTCTGGGGAGAGGAAGAAGAAGAAGAGGAAAATAATTTTGAAAGTTTTATCTTTTTTGAATCCCTTTCCTCACCGCATTGGGATCCAAGGTGGGCGTCACCGTGGTGGTGTCCGCCAGCAGGGGAATCTTCTGGACGATGGCGTCCACCGTCGCCTCCTTGATGCTCTCCTTGATGCTGTCCGCGACGAAGTTGGTGCCGTTCTTGAAGAGCACCGAGTAGGTCCATTGGTTGGGGTGAATCAGCTGCACGGCGGCCAGGGTGATCATCGCCAGCTGGAGGAGGTAGACGACGAAGCGGCTGCAGCTGACGCGGATCAGGTCGCAGACGCTGATGCAGCACATGCTGTGGTGGTGGTGGTGGTGGTGATAATCAGCAGATGATTTCAAAGTGGAAAAAGGAATTTAGATTTGATGAAGCACTAGCACTAACGTAAACTAAACTGAACTGACTGGTTTTAAAATTGACTGTTTGTGTCACTGCGTCTGCTAATGACAGTTCATTTTTTTGAGTGAGCTGTAAAGTTCGAAAACTGCTGCTCATCATCATCATCATTATCACCCTGTTTCGATCTTTGAATCAAAGAAATGAAAAAGGTTTTAATTAGAATCGAATCCATCTTTGACATTTGAGAAGTGCCGCCTGATCATTGCTTCAGTGCTTCAGTGCTTCAGTGCACTATATCCACTGCGCTGCCAGTGCTGGCCAGGCCACTGGTACTAGAGGTGCTATTTGAACGTGCAGCATCGAAGCATCGCACACATTGGTAGTGTACACACTAGAGAAGAAGAAGGAGAAGAAGAAAATGCGCCTGATGGTTAGGTAACACAACACAAAACACAGCACAGCACAGCACACTTGCACCAGCACCAGCCGCAGTGATCGTGGCAGAGGACGAGAAGAAGAGGAAGAAGAAGGTGCACCACACTTTTCACCTCTCAATGATCGTCGTCGGGACTACTGCCACAGCCTCAGCCACCACAGCTGCCGAGAAGAAGGACTTCCAAGGTTGTAGAAGAAGTGCTGAAGAGCCTGGTGAAGAGGTGAAGTTGATGGAGATTCAACAGCTAACCGATGCAGAGGCCGAGGTCGAGGCCGAGGAGAGTGCCTCGATGTGCGAGCGTATTTTGGCCGACCTGGAGGCGATCTTCAGGCGAGAGGAGGCGAACATGTGAGTAGTCCAAAAGGAAAACAACATTTCTAAATCATCACTTTCTAAATCTTCACCACCACAGACTGGACTTTGACATCATCGGCCTGGCTGACTCGACAACCAACAAAAGTCCGGTGGTGTACGTGGACGGGCACCTGGCGCTGGAGCGGTGGGCCGTGCCGCATCTCTACGAGTTTGCCCGCCGCAAGGTCCTCCACACGAGGGCTTCCTCTTGCTGGTCCACAATCAGTGCCAATGGATTGTCTTCAAATGCCACCACCACCATCACCACCGCCACCGATCTGCAGTCAGTCCACCAGTGGACGCGGATACTGCTGCTGATCAATCCCGATCTGCTGACGGCCTGGAATCTAAGGTACACACAGTTTGTTTTGATGTTTCATGTTTGTGTTTACATTTTTCTTTCCTCTTTTCAGGCGAGAGATGATCAAGTGCCGCCAAGTGCAGCAGCACAGTCAGCACAGTCAGAACGCCGATGAGCTTCGCTTCACGGCGCTGGTGCTCGGCCGCAAGCCAAAGTGTGCCAGCGTTTTTACCTACCGGTAGGCGATTTCGATATACCTTCGAAAAACACCAAAAACAAAGTTCTAAATGATCTTTTTCTTGTAGAGAATGGCTCCTCAACGGTCTTCTCAGCAGTGCTCAACAGGGAACCACTTCGGCGGAACAGCTTGAGGCGGCGGTGGGCGAGCTGGTGGCTACCGAGTTGGCGGTCACCCTGGACGCCTCTAGTCGATACGCCCGCAACTATTACGCTTGGAGCCACCGGACCTGGCTGCTCACCGTCTTTCTTCAACAGCAACGGCAGCAACGGCAACAATCGAGGTTCCGACTCTCTGAGCAGTTTATCCTATCGGTAAGTTTATCTTCTTTTTGATGATCACCAACTAGACATTTTACTTTCCTTTTCACCAGAAAGTCCACCACGACCTGGAGGTGACCGCCCGCTGGCTGGAGGGCCACATCTCCGACTACAGCTGCTTCCAACATCGACAATCACTGCTGCAGTACCTCTTTTCGAAGGAGGAGGAAGAGAGGAAACTACTACAGCAACAACAGCCAAACAACAGCACTACCTCAACTTCATCATCATCCCCATCATCCCCATCACTTCTTCCTTCTTCTTCTTCCTCTCCTTTCCCGCCCTTCTTCTCCCTTCTCCAGCGGGAGTTCACCCTCCTCGAGTCCCTCTTTCCGCTGTACGCCGACCAGGAGTCGCTGCTGCTGCACCGGCGGGCGTTGCTCAAGGTGGCCGTCACGGTTTGGCTGCGAGGTGACGACAGTGGCGAAAAAGTGAACGCCCTTCGTTTGCGGGAGGTCACCTTCCAGCGTGATCATGTGGCGGCAATACTGCAAAGGCAAGGGCAGATCAATTCACCACCTGAAGCAGCGAATCGGTGGCAGGCTGAGCTGCTTCGCCGGTACCTCGCCTACCTCAGGCGGAATCTCAACTGGTCGTTCATTGCTTCTAGCTGACCATGCCCATTTTTTTGGGAAAACAAATTCGTTGCTGGCAACAATCAATCAATCAAACCACTTGTAACAATAAACGGAAAATGTCGGTCTGTTGAACAAATGCAATTGCGGTTTAATTGAGAAAAAAGGTTCCTAGAGTTGCTGGCTGTTCTTGTTGTTTCAGTTGTTGTTGTTGTTGTTATTGGTAGTGCTTGCAATTAATAATAATGTAATCATGTAAACATCCCGGTTCATCATCGGTCGGTCAGTCGGTCGGGTAAGTAACACATTGTAAAGGGTAGAAAAGGGAGGAGGAGGAAGAAGAAAGTGATGTTGAAGAGAGGAGGAGAAAAGAAAAGAGACAGGTCAACAATCACAACAAGCAGTGTTTGTGGGTGTGTGTAGAGGGTGAAAATGGGTAAACTTGGTAGTGTAGTGTAGTGAAAATCAATCAACTCGGGCGACTCGCAACAAAAACGCGCTGAACAGAGAAAGAGAACAAGAGAAGTGTGTGAGTGAGTGTTGCGGGTGGCCCTTGAAAAAAGAGAAAAAGAGGTGTTCTCCTAGGCGAGGTACTCCCACAGGTCCTTGTCGTAGCCCTCCTTCACGTGGTTCAGCAGCACCCGACGCCTCGATTCGCAATACCTGGGAAAATAAAGACAAGGTTAGGCAACAATGACAAAAACACCGCAAAAACCAATGTAGGCGGCCATTTCATCGCGAGCCTTTTCATCGTGATGAAAACAACCAAACACACGCTTACCTCGACTTGTCCTGCACCCTCTGCTTGATCGCCGAGATGTTGTCCTGCGTGATGTCCCGCTCCAGATACTCACTGAGCTTCTCCGTGGCGCTCTCCAGGTCCTTCTGGTTGTCCTCGAAGATGATCGACTGGTTGTTCTTCACCAGGTAGTAGGCGAAGACGTAGGTGTACATCAGCGTCTGCCGGCACTGGCAGAGAATGTCCACGGCCTTCTTGAGGAACTGCACCTCGATCCAGCTCATGTTGTGGTGCTGCATCTCCTCCATCTTCGCCTTCACCGCCTCGTAGAGCTTATTCTCGAACTTGAGCGACTGCATGGCGTTCATGTAGCGGTTGCAGTAGAAGAGGTACCGCTGCAGCGCCGACCGGGAGCGCTCCTGGGCGTCGCGGGCCGCCTTCGCCTCGTCCTCGTCGAAGCGGTTGCAGCTGTACCAGCTGCTGCCGTGTGGGGCCCAGGGGCCGAGGCAGATCCAGCAAAAGTGGAACTGACAGGAGGAGTTCTTGCAGATCTAGGAGTGAGGAATTGGGTGAGTGAAAATAGACAACAAATGTAAATTGTTTCCACCCTTACCATGTGATTGCAGCCGCCGTCCTTCTCGATGGTCACCTGACAGCGCGGGCACTCCTTGGTGTTGGCGGCGATCCAGTTGGAGGTCTCGCTGTCGTCGTCGCACTTCTTCTTCCACCTCTTCAGCAGATCACATTTAATTGGTTCGTGCCAGCTTTCGGCGCAGAGAAAGCTGAGGGGTTTTTGGTGAAGGAAAAAGTTAGAACAGTTTTTTCGAGTGTTTCAGTAAACACAAAATCAGACAAACTCACCAGAAAACCGAGTTGCACAAGCACTTGACGGGCTTAAAGTCGACGTACTCGACGCGAATCACCCGGGAACACTCGGGCTTGGGGCACCACCGCAGAAGGCGATTACACTGCGAAAAAGAAAAAAAAGGTAATTAGCAACTTTTTTCGGTGGTAATTAACAAAAACTAAATCCTGAACGTACCTCAACGTAGCTGTTGGTAATGAGCTGCTGGTAGCGCAGTTTCACCGCGTCGGTAATGAGGTTGAAGACGGTCTGGTCGTCGACCAGAATATCACAGCCGTGGGCGGCGCAGGCAATCGTCTGCCCTTGGCCCTCCTCCATGATCTTCGTCGTCAGGTAGTGCGTCCAGCAGTCCTTGCAGAAGCGGTGGCCGCAGGCGATGCCCGTCATTAGCTGGTGGAAATGGAAAAAAGAGAGATGAGCTAAGGTATAAAAAAGGTAAACAAAGGACAGGACAACTTACGCTGGTCTGAAACTCGGCGCAGCAGATGACGCAAAACTCGTACCCGCTGCGAGCTGATTTCTGTGGAAAAAAAGGAGCAACAATGTAAATCAAGGCAATCAGACGGTAGTTAGTAACAAAATTACCTGTATTAAGCTGCCACTGCTACTGCCGCTGCCACTGCCGCTACTACTGCTGCTAACAGCACCGGGCGCCTTGTTCGGATTGACGATGCGCGCCTCGCAGAAGAGCTTCTCCTGGTCACCCGCGTAGTAGTGCTCGTACAGCTTCTCCTTGTCCCACTTGAAGTGGTTAAGTAGAATCCGCGTGATGGTTTGCGGCAGCTGAAAGAAGAGGAGAAATTGTTAAATAGAAATAGAACTGGGAAAGTAGAACACCAGAAAGTAGAGCCACTCACCTGAACCACCGTGTTCACCTCGCGAATGCTGGCGATCATCTCCTCGATGATCTGGTCACAGTTGAACACCGAGTGCGGGTAGTCGTCGTAGTCGAGGCTGTCCTGCTCCGCGTGGTTGCTCTCCGGCTCCAGGGCGAGGAGCACGCCGTCGTCCTCCTCCAGGTCGTCGTCGTCCTCCTCGTTCGAGGACTCATTGCCCGAGTCGTACTCGTAGTCGGACATTCTGGTGGTGGTGGTGATCAGTGGAAGTAGATCAACTGAGGAGGAAGTTTCTGCTATGATGATGAAATGTTGGTCCACAAGAGGAGAGGAAAAGAAGAAGCCAACGCAGTCCTTGATTCAGTTGATGAAGTGAGTGAGTGACTCAGAAGCTCACAAGCTTATCAGCAGCAACAGTATCAACAAGAGAAGCCAAACAGCACGAGCTGAGTTGAGCGATGACAGAATCCCCGCTGGGTGACGAAATTGCAGATAAACACTCGTGGTGCTTGATTACGTCGTCATAGTCGAGGTGGTGGTGGTGGTGGTAAAATGGCTGCGGAGAATGAGGGTGGTGGTGAAGAATAATCTCCAGAGACGGTGGTGATGATGATGATGATGGTGATAATGAGGGTGATAATGAAGGTGGTGGTGGTGGTGGTGATGGGTGGTCGAAGACAAAGTATCAAAGAGAAAAGAAGAGAGAGAAGCGATCGTCAGTCAGTCAGTGTTGTCGTCGACGACGAGTCTTCGTCGTTGTTGCCAGAGTGCCTCTCTCTCTCTGCTTTGCTTGCTTTCCTTCCTCAACCTTGCGAGCAACAAAAAGAAGAAAAGCTGCAAAAAGGTCTGCGACAGCCTTTGCCTTCACTGCCACTGCCAAAGCCTCGACAAAGTAGCAGCAGAAAAGCAGCAGCAGAAAAGCAGCAAAGCAAAACAACAATTTTTTGCTCACAGTTTTTTCCTCTCTGCCACGCCCACTTGCCACTTTCGAGCTTTTGTACCGCTTCGGACGGATGTCTTTTAGCCGCGCAGAGCAGAGAGAAAGATGCTGCAGAAAAGTGGCCTCCGAGGATCAATGAACTTTGCAATGGCTGCAGATGAAAGAAAATGCGGCGATGATGAATTTGAAAACGGGAACTTAGTATTTTGAAATCATCCAGTTCAAACTCTCTCCTGAGCTCCCACACAGTTCAAATTAGTCATCGCTGGCTGGCTGACTGGCTGCCTCGCTACCTGCCAGGCCAATCTCATTAGCTGGGCATAAAGGCTAAAAACCAAAATTCATTAGTGAGTTCGAAAAACAGACGTGCCGCTAAAGGATTAGACTTTTGAGTAATAAGACTTGGGGCCAAAATGTCTTTCTGATTAGAAGAGATTAGAGATTAGATGTCCTCCTTTTTAAGTCGCAGTGTTTGCCTGCGGTTAATGCCCCCTCACTCTCTGGAGCGGCTGTTCCATTTGGAACAGTCGCTCTCCGGTAGTGGGGGACTCCAAACAGAGTGATCCGCAGTGATTCCCTCTCTCTCTCTCTCACTGTGTGTGTGCCCGCTCTATAGAATTCCCTGTGCAGGGATTCCCTATCGCCTTTTTTGCTGAGTGCATGTGCCCTGGTGCAAAAACTGAAACAGCTGTTTCGGTTGCTGCTGCTAATGGAACAATAACAACAACTTATACTTAAACTCTTCCGCATCACAACTTTAACGGGACTTTTGGAGGAGGAGGAGGTGGTAATTGCGTTTGTGTTAGTGGCAGTGGAATGGGAAGCAAGGAGAACATCTACAAGAGCAAGAAGAACAAGGTAAGCTGAAGAAAAAAAAGTTGGAAATTTTATTTCATCATTCTTTTTTAATCTCCTCTTTTTTCTCTTGCTAAACATCTGCTGCAGAAATGGATAGAACTCTTCGAGAAGGTAAGCTCTTTTTACAGTCCAAACTTTCAGGTTGCCAAACCCTTTTTAACACCTCCTTTCTCCAGTTCGACCCGGAAGGGGCCGGCCGCATCTCCACCGAGGACTTCCTCCTCGCCTTGGACAGCGACCAGTGGCCACGGACCGACCCGCAGTGTCTGGCCGCCCGGGCGACGCTCAAGTGCAAGGTCCTCGAGTATGGCACCAGCTTCATCACCCTGGAGGAGTTCGTCACCGTGGTAAGTGGAAAGCATTTCTTTTTATCTTTCGATTGTACAAATTACAAAATCATAAGTCCGTGAGCAAGATTGAAAAGTGAGATATCACACAAATAGAGAGAGAGAGCAAAGAGGTGTGGTCCAAAGAGAAGTAGTATTGCGCGTGCTTGGTCAGAGTTGATGAGAAGATGATGATCAGGAATTAATGAGTGGTGATGATGATCATTTCGTTCGGTGGTAGTGGAGGAAGTACAGGAACTTTAGGTGGACTTTAGATGAAGTTTCATGAGAGTTCATTTTCAATCACTCTTCAGCGTCACATTGACCACGGGAGTAGAAAGAGAGGCCACCTCCAATCGGCGGCCATTGACGTAGATGCCCACCAGCGGCCGCTCCACCTTGATCGCCTCAAACTCCACCACCTTTTCTCCTTCTTCCTCTTCTAATTCGATCCTATGCCTCCTGAAGACGGGCCGCACCACGACCACACTGTCTCCAGGCCTCGGTCCCCTCCGCTGGGCAATGTCGTAGATGAAGAGGGCGGCGGAGGCGCCGGCGGCGTCGATCACCGTGAAAACGGCCGCCAGGAAGACGCCATTCTCCGCATCTGCCGTGCTTGAATCGTAGGAGAGGACTCGCAGGGGGAGGAGGCATTCGTTAACTTGACCCTCCTCTTCAAGGTCTCCCAGCCGGCGGACCACGCCACAGCAGAGGTCCTCATCGTCGGCGTACCTCGCCCGCAGGCGGTCCTCGTCGGCGGCCAGCTTTTCCCGCAGCGTCCTCAGCCTCTTCTCTGAGGTCTTCTTCTTCACAGGGGCGGCGGCCGTCGCCTGGCGTTGAGCAATGTCGCCGAGAAAGGAGGCGAGGGCCCGGCGCCTGACCGCCAGCTCCCGCCACTCGGCGTCGAACTTGAGGGCGAGGGCGAGGTAGCGGAGGGCGCCGCCAAAGTCCTCCTCGTACTGGAGGACGGAGGCGTAGTTGAAGAGGACGTCCGCCTTGGTGGCCACCTCTCGATCTAGAAGAGCCTTTTGGTAGGCGGATTTGGCGCTCTTTAGAAGCGAGTTGCCGGGGAGGCCTCCTCCCGGACCCGATTTTTGCTGTTGTTGCAGCTGCTGGGGGTGTGTCAGCGCCTCCCACCGACTGCTGGAGCAGAGGAGGGTGAGGTAGGCGTTGGCGAGGACGACCCAGCTGGCCGGCTCGGCGAGGCCGCCCTCGCTCGCCAGCGCCCGCTTGGCCAGGTCGACGCTGCGGAGGATGTTATTTCGGCGTTCTTCGCCTGAGGTGGCAGGCAACGATCGGAGGATGATGCTGGCGCTGCGGAGAGCTGCCCGGTCCGCCGGACAGTTCTTCAGCGCCGTCTCGAAGCAGGTGAGGGCCATCTTGAAGTCGTCCGCCTTGCGGTAGCATTCGCCTGGGAAAAAGTAATTATTGTAGGCATTTAAAACAGGTGAGAAAAAATGTAAACAAAACAGAGGCTGAAATTAAAGCTCACCTAGCTCATTCCACAGCGCAGTATCCGCTGGTTTCAGCTTGACCGCCTTGGTCAGCAGCTCTTTCACCTCCGGATCGTAATCAGTTCGAATGTTGAGCAGTCGAGCCTTGAGAAAGGAGTAGGTCACTGGGTCCTCGGCCCGGCTCGGCGCCAGAGCCTCAGCCTCCAATGTTGACAAGATGTTCTGGATGAAAAATGTTATGATTTAGAAACCAGAAAGAAAACAAACAGCTTTTGTTTACCTTGAGCTGGCTCTCGATGCGAGCATTTTTCAGACTGAACTCCGCTTCGGGAACGGCGGTGAAGTAGGCGTCTCGGAAGCGGTACAGCTCCTCGATCTGCTCGCCCACTGTTGATAAAGAAGGTGGTGGTGGTGAAAAGGTTTCTTCGGTTTTCGCCGTTTCAGCTTTTGCCACTTCGGTTTTGTTGCCATTGCCGCCGCCGTCGTCGAGGACATCCTCGTCCGCTGCTGACATAGCTTTTGGCAGCTGAAGAGGTGGTGGTGGTGATGGGGGTGATGGTACTTGAAGAGATGATCAGCGAGACGATAATAGGCCAAGAAGATATTAAATTACCACCAAAAATGAACTAAAGTTGTCACCCAGACTGACTGAACAGCTGATCACTAGAAAAAATGAGAGAGAGGGAGACAACAGAAAAAGCTGCCACAGAGCAGCAGCGGCAGAATCTTTTCCCGAAATCTTTGCCCACTGCACCGAAGTGCCTGGGAAAGTGTTCTGACTGATTCCCGCACACTCTTGTCACAGCTCATGGTCACCGTTTGTTCATTTTCACGGTGGTGAAAAAATCTAATCAATATTTTGACAGCAGCTGAGCTCTCTATGATTGTTATTATTAACAGGTGGTTGTTATCAGCTTTTAGGAGATAAATTGGACAAAAGAAAGCATTGAAGGCATTGATTTTCTATAGCAAGTATTGTCTCATCTTTTTTCTGTTCACCTCTATATTCCCATTCCCCTGCAAGAGATGGCAGTAGCGACCAGAATTGAGAGGAGAAAAAAATGATGACCAACAAAAAGTAGTAGTGCTTTTGAAAGTGGATGATATTTGGTCGGTTCGAGAATTGTATCATCATTGAATAATTTTTATCTGCACCGGAAGTGACCGGAAGTCGTAGTAAAACTCGTTTTTACTGTTTTCTAAACTGTTTCAATTTGTGATTAAACCCAAACATAAAACAAAAATTTTTACATAAATTAAAAACTATCCTCCACAGCTGTTTAGCTTTAGCTTTTGACCCCCCTCCCTGGCCAATCTTCAAAAGTATCAAACACGTCCGCTTCCGTTTTTGACAGTCTCCAAACACATGCACAGTCTGTCTGTCAGTCAGCCCGCTTCGAAGATAGATGAAGTGTTTATGTGTGTCTGTGTGTGTGTCTGTGTGTCTGCTCTGTTCTCTGGTTTGTGGCCACAGTCGTTTCCAGCTCTGTGTGTTTATCCTACTGAAGCTATCTGGCAGACAGACAATCTCACTGACAGTTAGCTTTGGCCTCCTCGACTCTTCCGAAGACATGTGTGCCCATGTCTGTGTTTGTTTTACCACCGCCAACTTTTGCTTTGCTTCGCTTCGCTTTCATTGCAGTGCTGCTGTCCACTACTGTCGAC